GCAACAGGTGATTATGTCATCTCCACATAAATGGCCCCTGTGTCCACCCACTCTCTTGCTCCCCGTTTTACTCTCATCCACATATTTTCCCCAGCATGTCCCACACATTAAAACCTATTTACCAACTACTCTGGGCAGGTTTGTGTTTACGGCCGAAGCTTTATTCGCTAACCTAAATCTTCTTCCATGTTTGAATGACATAAAAGCTTTTCTCAGTGACTCCCTGTATGGAAAAGACATCTACCCCCTCCCACCAGTCCCCTCTTGGCCCATATGGAGGAACGGACAGGTCAGAAAAGGAGCACAGGGATCTGGTTGCTCTGAACGTTTTACTGGGTGTGGTTTTTACCCATTCACAAAACAGTTTTATTGGTTTGTTTTCTTTTATGCAAATATTTTGACACACACTCATTCCTGCACTCATCATCTCCACTGAAGCAGTCAGACAAGTAAACTGAAAGCAGAGTGAGGACGCCTGGTAATCAGCTGTCTGGGTCCTACAGAGCAGATGAAGCCTTGCAGAGAAGGAGAAAAGGGGACTGAAGATGAAGGAGAGCAGTAAGATGTGAGGAGGAAATGGAGTTAAACGACTGGAACGCAGGCCTCTGTGATCCTCTGTTTGCACAAAATGGAGTTAGGCATGCATCTCTCTCTTTCTTCTTTTTTTGGCGATTTTCTCTCTTCAGGGCTGCCAGAGGAAATTCTGTCTCACAGCCAAAGTTGATTAAATGGTCCACATGCTCCACCTGCTCACGCAACACAGCACTCAAACCCATATAAACACATATTGGTCCTACATGCGCACTGACACAAAACACACACACACACACACAAATCCTCCAACAGCCACAGGGTGATTATTAGGAGTCAGAATTCAGCTCAGTCTGGCAGGCAGTGGTCCAGGGCTCGCTGTCTGATTTACAGTCATCCATGTAAAAGTGTGTCTTTGCACATCGTTCACGTATCTGTTGTGTCATCCTGCTGGGAGCCAGCTCTGAGCTCAGCACTCAGGGACCATGCATCTGGCTCGCTGACAACGAGCTGAGAACCTGCTCCAGACGTTTGGCCCATCCATCATCACACTCATAAAGCTGTGATGTTACCTCTGAGGAATTTACTGGAATATGTGAGTTTTTAGGTCAAATGCTGTAATCTGACCATAAACAGTAAAACAGGAATTATTGATTGTGATGCTCATGATTAAGTGCTGGTATCACTTTCTCTTTCTCTGTGGGAGACTTTCTGCAAGGTTTCATAAGTTCAGCAGCAGTACTGGGTTGAGACAAAGTAATGAAAAGTGATTTAGGATCAAACTAATTTAATCAAAGCTCATTCCTCTTCTACAAAGATCTGGCTCAGGTTTATGTATATACATTACAAAGTAAAAAGTACAAAGTTCAACATTATTATGCACTGTAAATGCACACACACACACACACAGTTGTCTTTTGATAGTTGTCAGGTATGTGGGTTGATTGATAGACAGATGAAAATAGAGAGATAGATGGATGGACAGACAGACAGAGAGACAGACAGACAGACAGATAGATAGATATATAGATAGATAGATAGATAGATAGAGGTGAGGGACAGAAACAGATGAGGGAAACAGACGGGGCTGAGGTGACACAGACCTTCACGGCAGATTTCACACTTAGTTCTGCTCAGTTAAACCTACTCTGTTTTGGTTGCACTGGAGTGTCCTTTCCCACACTCTCACAATGTATGTGTATATGTGTTTGTGTGTGGTGTGTGTGTGTGTGTGTGTGTGTGTGTGTGTGTGTGTGTTTTACTCTAGTCTGTGACCAACTAACAAAACTCTCTGACCACAACTCGACATTTTGACTTACAGGAATGATCTCACACCACAAAGCCCTCACGCTTACTGACTCCACATAGAACACTTTCCCCCCGTCGATGTATTCAAATCCTGCCCAACGTTAAAGGAAGTGAGTCAAAGCCCCCTGAGAATAGACAGAGCCCATCTTCACTGCACATTTAACGTTCACTGGTCACAGCTAAAGAAGCAGAGGTGTGTCACAGTGCTGTAAACTGTCCTTAGCCAGATGCTGGTTTGTTGTATTTCTGAGGCCTGGAGAGCAACAAGATAATGTCTCCGCAGAGTCTGAACAATAACTGTCAATGAATGGTTTATGGCTTCTCTGAGACAATGTCCATGATGTCTTTATTGCCCTCACATGCTGAGGAGCCTCTTTAATGAGAGGGACACTCTGCTGCTCTGACATGACTGCTGACAATTTGTTAAAACAACTATTATTAGCTATTTAAGGAAACACACTTTCCCAATGTAAGCTGTGTTTAACTATTAATGTTTCAGATGAAACATGTATTTTTAGTTTATTATCAAACATAATTACTGTCAAAGTGATTGGCGCCATTACATGCTAGTAATTACTGTAAACAAATGAGACCATGCTTACGGAATTGTACTCCCTTCAAGTGATTTAAACTAGGAACAGACCATTTCTCTCTGTCACAAACAGGATGTTGTTAATTGTTCTGTTTGTGCTGGAACAATACTCTCTCTCTCTGTCTGTCTCTAAGCAATGCCTCAACTTGAACAGAACTGTAAACTTAAACTCAAAACTGTAAACAGTTGGTTTGCTTTTTCAGGTATTTAAAAATGGCGAGTGAAATAAAATGTGGTGAGTGCGCTGACCAATCGGGATTATCCAAAGTTTTTTGGGGGTAAGAGATTTACCTGGAACTTTATTTTGACCTTGGTTCCTGCAAACGTTTGTAGTTCTGAGGGAAACTCAAAATGCAGCTTCTTGCTGAGCGACCAGTGAAGTCTCCCTATGCTGGTATATAGAGAGAATACAGGTTTCAGGCTCTTGTGCATTGGCTTCACTTTCCGGACCCAAAGTCTACAGTCATTTTATGCTCCGGAGGGAGCTGTGTGAAGTCCAAGGAATAGTCTCGAATTATGTAAAATAGAGCTGCAGGCCTAAAAGACTAGGCTAAGTCTGAAGATTTATAAGGTGTAGAACTACCTCTGTGGCCTGTTCTTCCTCTCTACTTGAGGTCACCAGCTCAGGGTTACTTATGCTGCTGATATTGTCTTTTACTGGAATGACACCAGTGAATCCACATCCATGAAACTTCTACTAAAAGTCCACAGTAAAAAGTCTCATTCTTTTATTACCACAGTCATGCTTTATTTCCTGACAGGAAGACTCAGGACAGGAAGTCATATTGTTCAGTGGAAATTTGTCAACTAAACTCATCACAGTCTGGCAAACCGGGTGCGTCATCAGCGTGACTTGTATCATTGAATGGATCAGTGGCCTAAAAGGTCGGCTGTCTGCAGTGGTGGTGGTGATGGTGGGAGTAATCATTGCGGAGAAGATAAAGAAGGTCAGAAGACAAGAAAGCATAGAATAGAAAAGGGAAGAGGAGCTGATGTAGAGGAAAGGAAAGAAGGAGGCAGGGCAGGAGGTAAAATGATGGAGGCGATGCATCACCCCTTCAAAGGATCTTAAGTTTCATGTTGTGGAACTTCAACGTTATTAAGGCAAGAAAATGTGCAGATTTACGAGGTGTGGCAGATCTGTCTCCCTCAATCACCCCCCCCCCCCGAATGGTATTCAAGACCCAAAGCAGGGCACTCAGGGGTTACACATTGTTATTTTCATTCCTACCCTTCATCTACCTTCAACACAGCTCCTCTGACTCCTCTTCCTCCTGCCTCCCTCTTCCCTCTTCTCGTCAACCGAACATCTGGTTTCAATCTCAGCCAACATTTCGGACGTAAGCTCTGCATCAACAGCGATCCCCTCTCTCTCAACCCCGGTCTTCTCGACATGTTGTGTTGCTCATTTCCAGGCAATCCTGAATGGCTGATTTTGATAAGCACGAAGGGAGACATGGGACTTATGGTTCATCTTGTTGTGTTAATCAAACTGACTCATAAACACAGACATTTCCATGTCTCCCCACTGAGCATTAAGGAAAGGTTAAAAAAACAGAGTAGAGATACTTATTGGAAAAACAGAAGAACACTGACCATGACTTCCAGAGGTAAGAGGTCAGAGGTCGAGGTACAGGAGTTCATGGGTTAGAGGTCAGAGATCAACAGGTAGCACAGAGCGCCAAGGAGAGAAAGGTGAGGTTGTTTATGGCTGCTGCTGCTGCAGAGGACACGAAGAGGGCAGTCCTTCTATCTGGCAGAGGTGATCTGTCTGTCTCTGCTTCCTGCTGTGACCCAGCTCCTCCTCTCAGCTCTGTCTATTATCTGCTGTCTCTCAGTTTGACTGTGTCTGTGTCCAGAAAAATGTTTTTTTGCTGAAGACATTTTCTTGATTTATGCTGCATGTGAGGTTTGGGTCCGTTGCTCCAAACATTTTCCTGAGGTTTTACCTCTAGCACCCTAGTAAAATGCAGCAGGAAAGTTCACTGTGAGCGAATGGGCCTGTTGATCACGTTTCTAACATGTGAGAGACACAAAACTGAAAAAACAACACAAATACAAATATCTAAGAAAGAAAAGACATGCTGAACACATAGAAGATGCAGATAAGGATGCCTTAGAAAGACAACAAGATTTGGGACCTTTGGTACAGTGGCCGAGAGAGCTCAACACAAATTAAGAAAACAACTTCACCAATTTGAAGACACATGCGCTACAAAAAGTCACAACACATGCAAATCCAGAAACATTGAGATTGTGATAAGGGCCAACACCGGCGTGGATGTGCAGTAAACATTTTTACTGTAAAATAAAATAATAATAACGCTGTAACTCAGGGTATTTTCTGTAGTTTACCCACTTCTGTAGCTTCCCTACAACTTACTCCAAGGGAACAGTTTACCATTAGGGTCTAAGAGAAATACTACAGAGGGACTCAGGTGATGCAGGGTTTGAAGATAAAATAAAGTAAATATCCATTCTGAGTCACACTCCTTTCCAGGCGGTGGCGGTACTGCACCAATAAGTTGTTTGCCAACCATCCTAAACATCAGCAGAAGAAGAAGTAGCTTCCTCACGTTCCATAAACGCATCACCTGTAAACAATGGACAGGTGCTGCACAGCTGTTACACACAGTGACACACAGTGACACACAGTCAGACACAGTTACTGCAGAGCGTGTGGATAAGCTGGAAAAGTAAAGTTTGGAGAAGAAGAAAGATAACAACATGTAGTAGTGTTTGTAGTAGTAGTGGTGCTGTGGCCAGGTTGAGAGAGTTATCACGGGACGAGACTCCACGTGTTCTTCTCGAGGATTATCCAGGTGAGTTTGCTGCTAAACTTGATAAAGCTGATTCCCATGAATCGTGCATTTTAATTCATTTCAGGAAGTCATAGAACAAAACTGGTCAGGATGCTGTGATGTGATATGAATATACAGACAGTGAAGTTAGATACTGAGCTGTTTACGCGCCCAATGCTGTCTGGTGGATCTTAGCCTAGAAGCTAAGCTAAGCTGAACTGAAGGAATTTGAACTGATACCTACCAAATAAATGAACTCAACTAATTAGACTTCATTTTCATTTCATCATATGGAAGTTTCAGTTATTACAGTTAATATTTATGGTTTTGATTGTAATTAGTTTTATGGTATGTTTATGTTGTAGAGTGATTTACCTTATAAAAAATGTGCATCAAGTTAATGTACACAGAGAAACTACTGTACATAGAATATAGGGCTGTAACTAACAATTATTTTTAATTAATTGATTAGATAATCTTTTTTATTCATTGATTATTAATTGGATATAAAGACAAAAGCTACATTTGATTCATTCCAGCAGTTATATTCGAAAAGCAACTTCATCTTCTTGTACAGTGTACAGTTATGTATGTATATGTATTACCAACATCTCCAATTGAATTATGATAATCCCAGTTTTAAATATCACAACTTAACTATGACATAATGGTCATAATTTAAGTTCAATATGTCTTCAATTAAGTTTGAACCTGTCAGTACTGTAGATATCATGACTAGTCAGAATTAAATTGTAGATATCTAAAATTGTATTCAAAGATTATAATTTATTAATTCAACTGAATTGTAGATATCTATAACGAGCAGCAAACAAGATAACCACTGTGAAACAATCAGAAAATTACCGTTTATGTGTTCGATACCGCTGCTGCTCTCTCTCTCCTCGTTGAGTCGGGGAAGTGACAGTAGTTAAAAGTGTGTGAACATTTTATGTTAAAACCTCAATGAAAACCTGTGTAAAGCTGATTTCACATGACACAGCAGCACAACATCACTGCGGTATGAACTTCAAGGTGTTTACGATTCTCCAGTAAACCGAGAGAAGAAGAAGAAGAAGAAGGTCTCCAACATGTTTTCAGGTTTATACCACAGTGATGTTGTGCTGCTGTTCTATGTGAAATCAACTTTACAGTTTGCAGCTAATGGTCTTTGAGTACTTTATGTAAAGTGTTCCCACACTTGTGACGTCTTGTCTCCACTGTATTGATAGTGCTGTTTCTCGCCTCCATTTTTCAAATGTCGTCGTCACATGAGCTAAACGAGGCACGGGATTGGGTGGTTTATTGCCCTCACCTCAGGAGACATTAGAAAGTGTGTGCTGTGTATTATATCAGACCCAACTAATTCATTACAAAATAAGTTGGCAAATATTTTTATAATCGATTAAATTGATTATTTGTTGCAGCCTTAATTAATGTTTTGCAGATTTTTTTTTTTCTCACTATTCTCTTAGATCAGTGTTTGGTGTGTTTGTGTGTGTACTGCTCTTATAAGTGCTACTGCCAATCAAACAAGTGAATCCAAGACAAAATGTAACAAATTAAGGTTCTATGTCCAAAATATTTTAGATAACCTCCACATATTGAATTTTAAGATACTATACCAGGATCAGAGGCGTAAATTCAAAGGGAAAGATTGCTTCTTCCACAGGTTACAGCCGTCCAACAATATTATTTTTTTGTCTGACTTGACCGACATCTTGTGTGTGCAGAACCAAATGTGTGTGTCATTGTGAAGTACTATTCCTAACAGTGAATATTAGTGAGTTTATAATACGATTGAAACTTCTGAAGACATTTTGTATGTCCTTGTTTGCAGTAGTTATACAAGTCATTAAAATTTAATTGGGCACATGCGATCCATCCCAAAAATATTGGCTTTAGCACTGGGTGCTCTGGGCTTAGCCCCAGATCATGTCAACTCCTAGATCTGCTTTTTACAGATATTGAAGACCTTCCCTGCCCCATGAAAGCCTTCCAAAGCCCACACCCCATATTTGTACAAAAATTAAGAAAGGTCTTAAATCCAAGCCAAGATGACTCTGATGACATAATCATGTTCTTTGGAGCTTTGTCAAGCTTCTCCAGAGCCACAGAAGACTTTATACAACTGATCACAGGTTCAGTAGTGCCCCTGCTGACGAGTACAGTGAGCTGACTTTGTAGTGTTTTCCACAAACAACTCATTTTAATGACTGTGGAGGTCATAGCTGTACTAGCCTGCAACACTATTATGTAAGTGCAGAATTTACCGGTGCATGTGTTCTTCATCAACCTCATTGCCAGACAAGAACGATAAGAAATTACACATAGCAGATGCTTCTTTGTGAACTAGTTATCTGGTTGAAATATGAACAAATTAACATGTGGTTGTGCATAATAAGAAATGTGGGTCTCTGCATTTGGGTAAGGGGTGGAATGAGGGTGTAACCAGTGCCAGGGGTCCCAGGGTTTAAGCTGACGTCTGTGTCCAGGTTAGGGCTCAGGTCCAGCTGGGTAACGTCCGCTCCTTCCTCTCCCCACTGGCAGCAGCTGTGGTCACAGTCCCACAATCCTTCATTCACACACAAACATCCAGTTGCTGTGTCCGCCAGAGCTCCCATGTGTCTCCCCCAGAAGGCAGAGGCAAGTAGAGAGACCGAGGCAGGGGCCGCCACGGAGCTGGGAAATGTACCACTGACTCCAAGAGGCCCTTAAACACTGGTAGAATGTAGGCCAAGCTCAGGGGAGAGGGAGCGTGTGTTTGAATTTTTTTATACTCGACATTCACAGAAGCACCATTTATACAGCGTGACTGCAGATGGGAAATATGAATGTGATCTGCAGTAAGCCTGTTGAGTCTCATGGCTCAGAGTGATTTATAAACATCTTGGTGTCACTGCCTTTTTGTTACAGCAGCTGCCATAAACCAAGATAGCAGCAGATTGTCTGAGCAGAATGCCTCTCCAGACGATTTCGCCGAGCTCATGTCAAAGTGTGGTGTAAATCTGTCTGTGCACGTTTGCTTGTTATTGACAAAATGGCGTGTGAGAACAACATGTATTGTATAAAGACCCACGCTAAGGCTTCATTCAAAGTCGTTTAATATAATTGCACTGTTTCTTCTCGTCAGCTGTGAGAGAACACAGATGCCTCAGAGACATGCTCTCTGCCCACATGTGTGGTAAAAAGAAGTAATTACCTTTTGTTCCACATAGAAAAGCTGTGGTTGTGCACATATTTTACATTCATAAATAACATGGTATTTGTTGCACTCTCAAGACAGCTATGGACAAAGCTACAGACAGTTTTATAAGTGATTCAATAATTCATGTGAAATGTGACACCACACATAAAGATATATTGAGAAGTCACTTTGTGGCTTAAAAAAAAAGTTTAAAAATAGCTACCTAATGATACATTACATTTACTTTTATAACATACCCATACCATATTCTAATTTGTTTGTCTTTTAAGCAAAATGTACTGGATGCATTTCCATGAAACTTGGTGGGATGATGTCAATCCAGATCAAGGGGCAACCCAGATTTTATTTTTCAGTTTCTGTAACATTGCGAGACAATTTTACACGAAAATAAATTGTGTAGAGTAGTAGCAGCTATGAAGACGGTTAAATTTGGTGTGGATTATGATCCAGATCTTGTGAACCGCAGTCAATATTTTGGTATTTTATTAGTAATACTTTATAGTGATAAATAAATATTCCACTTCAACTATATTAGAGAACTGATATTTTGCCTAATTTGAATGTGAGCAATTTGCAGCATATTTCTGATATCAATGTGCAGTATGGTGATAAGGTGGCCAAACAGCATTGGTGGGAGTATGTACTCGTTGAGTGCCTCTGCAAAGGATGATAACTATGGTCGTGTGTTAGTGTGTGTCTGTGTCTGTCTGTCTGTCTGTCTGTCTGTGTCTGTGTGTGTCTGTGTGTGTTGTCAAAATACATGATATATGTCTTTTTCTCTGTATCACACAGGGTATGTCATGACTGTAGTGTAAGACCAACCACCTCAAGCTGTCATTCATCACAACGTCTATCACAGTATCCAATAAGAGAACATGTTGGTTTGGCCGTGTATCTCAATAACGTTTGCACTTTGTCTGGCACATTCTACACTGGTTTTTTTAATGCCAGTTTCTAATCTTTTAAGTGTTTACCTTTTTTGGTGCAATATTCAACTCACTTGTATTCTGCATTATTATTCTGGGTCTTACATGATATGTCCTTGTGTACTGTTTTTGTTTGTTACACAATGTGCTGTTCTGCAGCTGCTGAAACACTTTGGCCGTGAGGACAATAATTTGATTTGATTTGACTGCCTGAAAGCCAAAGACACACACACACTGTACCGTTCGGCACACTTAGCCTTAAAAAAATAACACATACCTTATGAGCCAACACAAAAACTCATAAAGCAAAACTTAAAAATAACGTGCCCAGAATATCATGAACCTGTGCGTTCCTATGGCACAATAAACATGTTTTTCACACAGCAGTGAGTGTTTTGAAAGTGCGCTCTTCTACAACAGACACATGAACCCTCTTGGTTGTAAGATTTCGTACAATAAGTGTTTCCTGTCTGAATTGCGGTTTGCCGCAGAGCAGCTGGAGAATGTGCGGACAGAGACTGAGGTTTGCTCTTAATTTGGGTCTGGTAATCCTTCTGTTTATGGCCTTATTATAGTAGGAGAGCCTGTCAGTGCACATTCCTCTGAACTGTGTGAGGCTGTTGTGTAAGGCCGCTTTGCTGAGATCTTTAAATGACTTTCTAAACACAGCATCGGTGCATTCTCTTAATTAGAACATTTAGAGGTTGATGGTCCCCTGTTGATGTGTACTCTCAAGAAAACAACAAGCTTTTCTTATCTTTCACTCAGCAGGACGCCAACTCACTCTGGCTTCAGACTGACCAAACTGCTATCCCAGACTCCATGAGTTCCCCGCCCCAGTGACCAAAGCTGCTCTATATACAGAGGCATCATCGCTCTGATCTTCTGCACAACATCACGCGCATGAAATGATATTTCAATGTTTAAAACATTTATTTTAGTTCTCAATTACTTTTGCGCAAACAGTTGTGTTCAAGCATTTGTTTCAGCATGTGCATGCCTGTGTGTATGATAGAGACCAGCACATTGTTTCTTCTGGGACTCAGAGCCTGGGAAAACTGTGTTTGGGTTCACCCCTCTGTGCTTCTCTGGCTTCACTTACTGTACGTCATTTTGCATTATGCAAAGTTTTCACTCATTTTCACACACTCTCCTCACCGCTCCCTCTCTGAGCATGTTAGTGGTAAATTACAGCTGGCACAAACATGTTTTCCTGAGCAGCAGAAGGTAGGCAGAGAGAGAATAGATGAGATGCGAAAGGGAAAACAGAGAGAGAGAGATGTGGTTCTCCAGTTTCAGAGTGTCTGTTGTTATTAATGATGAAGAGAAGATGGGTTCCTCTGAGAGTTGTCAGAGGTCGAGGGCCAGAGTGGGGTTTCTGGTTGTGGTCCAACATACACACAGTCATACAGATGTCAGCTATTCCCCCAGTTCGGTTAAAGCCACTCTAGATTTGTCCAGGATACAACATTATAATGAACAGTACGGGCCAAAGCGAGTGCAACCTAATGAGGAGCAGACACCGAATACCCTGAGATGAACTCGGAGCTGCAACAACAGCAGTACTGTGACGGTCATCCTGTAAACATGAAGTATATCATGAGGAACGTGAAGCCAGAAAACTGAATGAGGTTATGTCGATTAAAATGAAAAACAAATCCACGTACGGTTAGTCTTGGTTATTGTTCCTCCTGAAAGTTTTCCTGTCAGATGAAGGTCATCCAAGAAACAGTGACGGCTTTTATCAGGCATGTTTTCACCATCACCACTCGTAGTCAGTGTTTCCAGAAAACGTCATCATGCTGACAGGTTTTGCTTTTCGCTGTGTAACAACAGTTCACGCTGAGCTTCTTTGACCAAGAAACTAATACGAGCAGAAGAGCAGCAGACAATGAAGCTTTTCTGCAAAAGCATAATACCAGTTGCATGACTGGCACATCTGAGGGGAATTTCAGGGAGTTGGCACTTGCAGAGTAACTGATGTTTTCTTCTTCCTCAAACTAGATACACATCGTTGCAGCACAGTAACCAGATCATGTTCTTTCTCCCAACTTCTCAGTATACAGAATATACTCTTTTACATTTGTGGAATATACTTTGTTCTACTTCATGTTAGTTAATTAAGCAATCCTTACTGATGAGTCCACTTGTTCCATCTAACTCAATTTGTTTCACCTTTTGTAAAAATAAAAAATGGATACAATTATAGCTGCAATCTGTCTTATTTTCTTTTTTCTTTCAAGATTTACACACTTTTCTTAAGACCATTTTTAAACTTAACATTGTGAACTGTTTTTAATTCGCTCTAAAAGAACTTTGAGATTCAGTTGTTGACAGAATGATGATTCAACACTATGAAGTGCAATAACTAGAATACAGCAAAGGCAGTGATATAAACCTTGCAATACATACATATGAGATAGGCTGCATTATGAGTACTTTTACTTTTTTGGTGTCACTGCTTCACAACACTGACTCAAAGTGTAAGTCTGCAAGTTTTCTTCTTGCAGAATTAGAAGTTAGTAAATGCTACTGTAATCATGCATGTACCAATCCCCTCATATTTTACAACTAAATTCACTATATGTAAATCAAAGTTGCCACAAATCATCTCTGGGCTCACTACTGTCACAACCCATGTCTCTGTTTGTTTCCTTGTCAAGCAGGTTATGTTTTCACCCCTGTCTGTTTGTTAGTCAGCAGGAATATGCAAAAACAACTAAAGATTTCCATGAAATGTAGTGTTTGGATAGAACAAAACAGGACCAAACAAGAACCCATTATATTTTGGTACTGATCCAGGAATATTTTCTCAGATCTTTCCAGGGAATAATTCATAGATCTTGGTGGAAAAAATACATATTTAATTGATCTATGAGTGTCTGCCATTTGGTGCAGATACAAATTTAAATGTTGTTTGCACAATTTTTGTTTCGAAGTAGCACCTATAATTTCGTTGCACTGCTTTCTCCGTACAACAATAAACACTTTCTCTTCTCAAATGGAAAATATGATTTCATAGACTGCGTTGTTTTGTGGGCTCAGCTAAATGGCTTGATTGAATTTAAAGGGACTGTTGGGCCTTGTTGGAGGTATCAGCTCTGCAGTGTGCCATTACAGTTAATCAGTTTTAGCTAATAGTCATTTTGTGCTTTGTATGTGTAAACATTGGTAAGGTTGAAATACGTTGTATATTCTCTTGATAAAAGGGCCCTCAGAGACTGCATAACTCCGCCAAGGCCAACGCCCTATTTCGCCATGTTGAAAAATTCCCGATCCACCGCTCATCCACATCTGCTCCAAAATTTTATGGTTTCTCCTGGGGTCATGTCCGACTGTTCCACAAAATGTCATGGAAATTGTTATATACACAATATATACAGTTTAATGGTGTTGGTAGAGGCAGTAGTTGTATATGCCAACAGTGTGGCGTGACAGAGGGAGGTGTTCAGGTGGTCCCTTTTAGTGCTGCAGTCTGTTATTCCTGAGAGACTCCTGCTGGTTGTTCATCAGTCAGCTACATGTGGTGAGTGTTTAATCTGCTTGTAACTTCACCAGTAAAAGTCCCTGGAAAAGATCCCTGCTTGTCTTCCATCCACCTCCGCCACCAAAAACCTCACTTAGTTATGCATGTTGTGCTGCTAACAGTGCCTTGTTGTTAGACTTGTTTTTCTTCTGGATCTGTGAAGATGTTGAAAATTATCTAAATGCTTTTCTGATTAAGTTTGAGAGTAAACCTCAGAGCCATGATTCATATGCATGAGTTGTTGAGTTCAAATCAGTTTGTGGTTTATGGTCAGAGATGGGGAGGCTCAGAGATAAGATAAGACTGTTTGGGATGAGTTGTGGTCAGCTCACTGTCAAGGCTCGTTTTGTT